GAGAAAGGAACCATAATCTTAAATAGCAGGGATACCAGCATGCAGAAAAATAACTCTAGGCCTCCTATCTGTGTCCTATTGTATTTGAAAACCAAACAGTACTATTACATATTAATGAAGCCTGATTTTGACTGCTCTAACTGCTGCACAATAAAAGAATGTTAATAAATCACCTGTATCCAGTGTTGGTGGGGGTGTTTTTTATTTTTTTTATTGTTTTGTTTTTAAATGAGAGAGGAGGCAGAAAAATGGATGGGTGGAGGTTTTGTGGAAAATGGACCTTCTAAATTATTATATTTCTTTTAGAAATTCACTTACATATTTTTTGCTGATTGTCCAATGCTCCTCTCCTAAGCACCTCACTCCTCATTTACACCTTAAATAGCATGGTGGTGTTTTTCCTATCAGGGTACTTCCTGATTTTATATTTTATGTCACAGAAGTGATCATTATGAACTAAATCAAAATAAACAGCTTTCATTGATAAGCAAGGATGGGAAGGTAGACATTCGGTGGAGATATATTGAGGTTTGTGTATATTATTATTACTAGTATTTGGCGTTACATGGTATAAATGGATAGGGGAGTCTGCACAATGCTGTCTCAGACTCTTCAAACTCAGGGAGGTGTTTTTGCACTGTTTGTGTTTTCCCATTTTCTAAGGTTGCTCTGTAAGTTGCAGGATAAAATATCTTCATGGGGATTCATGTCACCTCACTTGGGATATTCACTGTATTGACTGGTGCAATTGACTGGTCCTTTAACCTTCCTGCATCATCAGTGAAGATAGGCACTTTTAGGCTGAAATTCATGTGTTCTGTTTTAGATGCATGTCTTTGGATGAGATGAATCAGGATGAGCTGAAATGCTCACTTCTCTCTCCAGTGCCTTTAAAAGGAGTCTAGGCAGCTGGCTCAGCTGTATACAACTGAGTAAGCACCAGATAGATGCAATGAAGGCATCTGCTCAGTCAGATGAATTTCAATCCTACAGCTAAAATCAACAAAACCCACAAACACAGAAATAAAAAGGAAAAAGAATTTCATGTTCTAGGAAAAAATGACAAGTTTTAAGTGTGAAGGAGGACAGAAGAGTTATGATAGGTCAATCTTTTATGGTCTCTTTTCTGTCCCTGAATCCAGTGCATTTACAGGGCACTAGATTATTTCACCTTTGCAAGAGTCATTTGTAGTTTATGGTTTCTGTTTTGTGTTGGTGACATTTTTCTCTCAAGAACAATTTTTAGAATCCCGACATAATTTTTGGTCCTTAAAAAATTAATGCTGAAAGAGTTCCCAGCTCATTTCTATCTTTTTATACACGGCTCCTTGCCTCCTAGTTTCTGTATAATTCTCTATGCTGGCTTACTGATTTTTATATTGTCTCCTTCACTGCAATTGCTTTATCAGTTCATTATTTCAAGTACTTTGCTTTGCTGTTTGCTTGGCATGTGACATGTAGAGTAAACCAAGCTATGATGTATGTTGACATATAAAAAGAATGGTGTCAAACCAGTTTTCTGACTCCACGATTCAGAAATTCTTGGGAACTACTTACTAGTACAGAACTTCTGTAGCAGAGTTGAGAATCAATCTTTGTCTGTCCTTTTTGGGCAATGCATTGAATTCTTCTCACCTCACTTTAGATGTCTGCAGTCCAGATATGTACGTATAAGCTAGTCACCCAAGGCTGCTTTTAGAATGAATTACAAGAGATGGGTGATTTTAGGCTACGGTTCTCCTGATCTATTTCGAGGTCTACTTTAAGATGAGATTCAGTGCTCTCAGAAGTGACTGGTGCTGGCCATTGACTGTAAAGGAAGTCTAAGCAACTGAAGTAATTGTAGCCACAGATGCTACAGATAACTGCATTAAGTCAGATGTATCCCCTTCTGTGTGGCTATATCACAGTACTGTGTTCTACACAGTAGTAATATTTTTGGGGGTTCATATGTAAATCTTTTTATTTTTCCTGTTAAAGAAAATTCCATTTGGTACTTTCTTTTGTAGTAAGCCGCTCTCCTTTTGCCAGTTACTGTGCATACCTCTTGCATTTTATCTTGCTGCTTGCAAACCTATTTCCCTTTATCTCCAATCAGAATGCCCAGTGTTTGCTGCCTTTCCCATTCCTTCCCAGAGCTGGGAGTGTATTGATTGTTTTTCCTCTTCTTACTGTTTTTCCTGCTTTCAAAGTTCAAGAAAGGTGAAATGAGTGGTTTCTTCCTTTTTTTCCTCTCATCTCTTCTCCCTCCACACCAAGGGCTGCATTTGCTCCTGTTTCTCCTCCCTTCTCCCCCCAGCAGTTTTTTCTTCTTTCTGGTTTCCCCTTTATCTTTAGAATCCCTTCCTCAAATAAATCAAGAAGGTGTGGAGAAGATGGCAGAACTGGGACAAGCATATTGTTCTGCAAGCTGTAAGTGGGACTTCTGAGTTTCCTGAAGGTCATTAATTGGTAGAAAGTACTTCTAAAGCAGCTGTGAAAAGGGATCAATCCTGAAAGATTTGTCCAGTTTGTGCCTTGGATCCCCTATTCAGTCTTTGCTTGCTTTTTTATTTGGTTGCTGTGTAAAGGCGAGCCATAGTTCCACCCAATGAGTGGTTAAATGTCACCAGTGAGAGGAATATATATATGTGCATATATATATATGAGGAGTTTTTTTACATGTATCTAATGTTCTTGGTCTCTGGATAGAAAAAGACTCTATGGGCAAGATCGTATGAAGGTATATCCTGCTTACTTCTCAAAGAAATCAGTAGAGTTAAGGTGCCTATACAAATATATGTCCATTGCTACTATGTGAAATCTAAACTGTGAGAAAAAAACAAGGGGACCCTGGAATACTAAAAAGTGAGCAGGAAAAGGGTTGTGTGATGAGTGGAAAAATTTTTTGTTGTTAAGGATTTAAGCTGATCCCTTTTATATTTTATATATTTTTTGTTCTGCTACAGATGTTTTGGGTTGTCCTGCCCAAGTTACTTGGAGGATAAATAGAATTTATCCATTTAATTGATGTTTTAATAATCCGTTTATCTTCTTAGACAGGATTATCTCCTGTTTATCTATTTAAGCATCTCAGTACTTTACTTCCTCCAGTAAAAGCACAGTAATAATGCTTTCTTACCTATGGTCTTGTCTGTTCAGGTAATAATGTACTTTGGTAGTGATTATTTTCTATGCTGCTGTGAGTTCCAGGCATGATTGGTCTCCTGGTACCGCCATACCTTATGTACCACCATAAAAACATAATATAATGTTAATAATGCAAACGCAATCTTTTGGTTTATTTACTGTTCACTTCTTATAAGCAACCACAGATATTTCCTCAATCAATGACTTTTTTCTGGTTTATTTCTTTTATTGTTGCTTCAGTTTCTTTGCTAACTCTGTATTACTTGCTACTGCCTATGTTAAGAACTTGTGGTGTTTTCTTACAATTTACTAGTAATTTATGAATCTTTTTGGCTTATGTCATTATTTCAAATGTTGGTTATTACACGTAATCCCTTCAGTACTTCAGAAATAATCACTGTACAAAAAAGGAGTGGAACATGTGTAAAATGGTCTAAAAATTGAACAGTGGTTAAATTTCAAAACTGCTCTGAACTTTAAGGGAGGAGGGAAAGGCATAAAATTCTGTTTTGAAAGCTGAAGCCAGACAAATTCAAATTAGTAAAAATGGGAACATTTTCACTGTGAGTAGATATTAGTTGTGACAAGTTATGTAGTGCTGTGAAAAATTTTCCTGTTCTTGAATCTTCCTAAAATAGATGCTATTGTGTAAAGAGAAAGCAATAGATTTTTTTCTGCCTAAATTACTGTTTGACCTTTATTAATGCAGGAAGTCCGATTACATTGTTGCAATAGCCCTTTTGGCTTTAGAACATGTGAGGGTTTCAGTCTGTGAAATGTTAATTTATTTGTTTATTTATTTTCTGATTATTTGCCTAATTGCTTAACTTACATCTATAGATGAGGCTGTTGAGTTCTAGCATCATGTTTTCTTATGGCCTTTGATTTAATGACTTTAAATCAAAAGGGCCCTCCCTCTTGTGCAGTGATCAGTGCTAAGTATAACACTTGATTAATGGGATTGGAAGGGAAGTTGTCTGGAAATTGGATTGCAAAGTGGGATGTTCTAGCTAAATCATCAAATCAGATCTGCAAAGATATTTCTACTTGAAGCAGAGCACTTGTGCAAGAGAAAAACAGACAGCAATTGTGATTCTGAGACGGAATGAGAAAACACAAAGGGGGTGCCTTAAAAAAAGTTACTCTAGTGCATACCTTTTCATTTCTTGATGTAAGTAGTGGGAATCAGAATCACCTGTAAAACAAAAGAAATCTTTTAGATCTCTCAGCTTTGCCTGAAGGGGATAAGGGATAAATACTGGCATAGGTAGGTAAAGACAAGTTGTTAGACAAGTATTTAACCTCTTTGCATGGATTCTGGGAGATAAGCTGACTATTAATAAGTCAAATAGGTATATCTACATCTTCTTACAAAAACGATCCACTTCCCAATCATTAGATCTTGAAGGCTTTTACAAAGGAAAGTAGTATCACTAAGTCTTGATTTGCAAGAGCATAATGAAAGTAAAAATATTATGAGTAATCACTGTAGTAGAATTCAGCATGGACATTATTTTCTGCCCTCATTTGAAACCGTGCAGTACTGCTGAGTGCACAGAAGGGCTGGGGGCAATCAGCTGTGGAGCTGACACATCCGTGCTCTGGCAGCGGAGAGTATGTCTTATGACCTGTGCCTTTTTCAGTATATGGGTCAGGATATTAACAAGATCAGTCTACTTGCTCACTTTTTCTTGTAAGTATTTGCATTTTCTTCTCTGTCTGTCATTCCAGCACAAATAAAGATCATATTAATGACAGTTTTCCAAGATGATAATGTTGGATGGAAATGCCTATTTCAGATTGTTATTGTTGTGTAATATTGACATGCAAAAACAGTAACTTTTTTTTTTTCCTTCTATTATTTCTCACAGGGTGCAGCTCTAATTCGAATGTTGGCTAACTTTATGGGTCACTCTGTGTTTCAAATGGGCTTACAAGTAAGTAAAGGCATTTCTGTCTTTGTGTAGGTGTGCATTTCTAGCAGTTTCTAGCTCTTCCTTTTTTCTTTTAAAACTCTATTTACATCTATTTTTGGAAATATTTCTTTACTTCAGGACCATCTGAGGCACCAACATGTTCCTGAAGATGGAAGATGCTAAGTATATAACATGCATTTCAGTGCTCCTAGTTTCAGCTATATTTCTGGGTGTATCGAGTAATGGCGCTTTAAGTGGCACATGGTTTTCTGTAAACTGCCATGTGAAAGCCATTTTATCCATGTAACACCTGCATGAAGGGCTAGCTGAGGAAAGAGCTACTTCTCTTCAATTACATGTGCGTGCTGGTCTAACAAATAATATCTAACATGATGTCAAGCCAGCTAGAAAATATACAACCCTAAAATGAATGCCTTTCAGATAAATAGTTTTGCTTTCCCTTCCCCCATAGCAAAATCCTTGAGCTTTATTTTTGCCTTGGATAAGCATGGAGTGCTCTCTGCCTTAACGGTGCTTTGAAAACTCACTCTGCCTTTTAAAAAAAGTTTAAAGAGGTAGCATTTCTGTATGAAAAGAAAGAAATTCAACATGCTGATTACGAAGCAATAATTCAGCACAAATGAATGTTTCGTAAACTATTTAAAAACAAACAATCCAAAGGATAAAAAACAATGCAACTCCCTCTGTTCCATTGAAATCTGCTTGAGTAAATCAAGTTACAGGCAGCTGTGATTGATGAATTATGTATGATGCAGCCTGCTACTTAGAAGTGTCCTTTAAAGTAAATTGATGTTCACCTGAAATACAATTATGCTAAGATGGAAAGAGCAATCAATCTTATCTGTTCTTAGTAAGCTTTTCATTCTGAAATTTAAATAAACTATGTCTAAGATCAGGTCATTTTTTAACGGAGTAATTCTACTTCTAACCAAAATAAATTGGAAGATAAAATATAAAACAAAAGTTAAATAAATGCATTGGTTATGTCAGAGAGATGTGTTCCATGCAGTAGTCAATGAAAGGAAAACTTCTGGGAAAATACAGGAGAGTTTACAGGACATTCAGAGTTTGCAGCATAACTTATTCACAGGACCCAGTTGGATCATTTTCTTAGTTGTAACACCAGGTCAAAACATAAGTGAATAAGTTAGTTAATCTTCTTATCCAGATAAGAAATCTTGAGATCAAAAGTTTCCTTCATGAAATTTTGTAAATGTCAACATATATCATAACCCTCATCTCATTTAAGCCAATAATACTTCTGTCCTTAGTCCAGCAAACTCCATATTCCAGCAAGAAACTTTTGCCTGCAAAGATCCATTAATGTGGAAATTCAGTAGCACTTTTTCCCCAAAAAAGCATTTCACTCAGAGTTTTAGAAAGGGGAAGTTTTAATGTGTAAATCTCAAACCCATTTTCCTATTTGCTTCTATATTTGCCTGAGAAATAACAGTGTGGAAGGAGTCTTGAAATAAATTGCTAAAAAAGTTCAGATCAAAGAATAAGCCTATGCAAGGGATGAAATAATCATAATTACTGTAAAGTTGTAATGGAGCTTTGTTTTTTTCATTTTAGTGGTTTCCTATTATTTCTGCTTTTCACCAGGTCTCCTCTAAGTAGAAACTCTTCTGTTTACTAATGGAAGTCTATGAAAAATCTAACTGTGAAAATCTGACTAATGGAGGTCTTGCATCAGTTCAGAAGGAAGATAAGTTTTATAAAAACTGAAATCCAGACAGAGATTTTCCATATGAATGTCTCCAAGTTGAACAAAACAAAAAATAAAGTAAATAAGCTACAAATTATACAATTGGAAATGTCTGTCAGTCATTTAATTCTTTGTGGCTTATGGATCCAGGATAGTGCTCCTGCATTATGGAGTTAGGAGCCTAACTTTACTGATGGTAAGGGGAACTGAAGGACTATAATTTACCCTTTCTATCATGCATTGGTTTAGGCTTCTTAGCCCTTTAGCCTTGATACCATCACTTGGGATTTAGCATTATGGTGTCTTGAATCCAGTTTTATCATGAAATTCTAGTGTTCAGCTGAATGTCCTTTCTGAAGGATAGCTGCAAAATCAAGTATTACTACTACTTATAAATCTCGTCAAATAACACATACTCTGAAAGTGCACTTGATGGTTCATTTCTCCTGGGTTATTCTGGTGACTTGCTGAGTAACTGAGTTCTTAAGGACCTTTGCTTTATCTTGTTTGCTTTATTTTTCATTAGCCTCCAGTACATAGAACACAACAGTTAATAGAATCATAGACTCCTTTAGGTTCAAAAAGGCCTTTAAAATCATAGAGTCCAACCATTAACCTAGCACTTCTAAGTCTACCTCTAAACCATGTCCCTCAATGCTTCATCTACACATCTTTAAAGTACCCACAGGGATGGCGACTTGACCACTTCCTTGAACAGCCTGTTCCAGTGCTTGACAACCCTTTAGGGGACGACATTTTTTCTAATATCCAACCTAAACTTCCCCTGGCATAACTTGAGGCCATTTTCACTTGTCCTGTCACTTATCACTTGGGAGAAAAGATTGACCCCCACTTCATTGCACCCTTCTTTCAGGTAGTTTTAAAGAGTCTGTAGTTCCCTGTGTCCTCTGTCTTACTTGTAAATGGGTGTCACATTTGTTAACTTCCAGTCAGCTGGGACCTTCCTGGTTAGCCAGGACTGCTGATAAATGATTGAAAGTGGCTTGGTGAACACTTCTGCCAGCTCACTCAGTACCCTTGGGTGCATCCCATCTAGCCCCACAGACTTGTGTGTATCTAAGTGGTGTAGCAGGTTGTTGACCATTTTCACTAGGATTATGGGGGCTTTGTTCTGCTCCCCATCCCTGTCTTTCAGCTCAGGGTACCCTGAGAAAAATTGGTCTTACTATTAAAGTCTGAGGCAAAAAGGCATTAAGTACCTCAGCCTTTTCCTCATCATTTGTCATTATGTTTCTCCCTGCATCCAATAAAGGATGGAGATTCTCCTTAGCCCTCCTTTTTTGTTTCTAGACTGTTTCCTCTCTGCTGTGTTGCATTTCCAGTATTAATCTTATTCCAGTTCTTTTTAGTGTATTAGGGATGTCCTTAAGTGTTTCATCGATGATGAAAAAGAGTATTCTTGTAGTCTTATTATACTAGCATAAACCAAAATGAATAGCCCTTTATTTGTGTTTGTGTGTCCAGTGTTTGTGGTTTCATCAGAATCAAGGTATGATTCATCATCTAATTAAGAGCTACAGAATTAGAGCTTTTATATGAGAGAAGCTACAACAAATATACTGACCTGTAGGTTAAGGTGTTGAAAAGGTAAGATTTAGAGCAAGAAGTAAATGGGATAGCCACCTTTTTCATTCTTTACCATTTTTTTCTTAATCTAATTACATGCTATCACCTGGCAGGTGGACTTATTTGAAAAGCAGATCAAGAAATCTTCTTATATGTCAAAGAAAACAAGCAATTTTATTAAAAAGAAGGAAAATGTTGATGAAGGAGAGTAGGCCTCTTTGTTAGATATTATTTAACAAGGAATACAAGCTGAAGCAAAGGTACAAAGGTGCACAGTTCATCAAACCATTCTGTTGAGGAGTCTGCAAGGAGCTAGTAGAGGTGGTCAGTTTTAAAGTGTAGATGGCTTTGGAGTGATTCATGTCAGTCAAGAATAACAGGCCTCTTTCGATCATGGCAAATAATACCATGAAAGACCATGTTATTAAAGTGTGGAAGTTCCACAATAAAACTGCAGCCAAGAGACTACCTAGTGAAGGTATGATTTTCTGGAAGCCCTTCAAGGACATATGACAATTTTCAAATAGAAAATATAGTAACAAAGAGAGAACTTTATCATTGTTTTCACATAGCACTTCACAGACAAAACTAAAAGAGAACGTATTTATAGTAGCTGTAACGAATAATTGAATAATGACAGTAATAGCCACAGCTGGTAATACTTTGCATATGAGAAAGTCACAGCTATTATTTTTGTAGAAAATGTCTAATAAAAACCCTTCCTTATCACAGTAGGTGATCTCTTTCTTTTTAAAAGTCCTGATATCTTTCATGATGTGCAAAGTTTCTTATGCTCCAGGGAAATCTGGGAGGTGAACATCACTGAATGCCAGTACTCTTACAAACTGGTGTTGCTTTTCAGTCAAAAAGCCATTAATCAGCTAGTACAGCAATTGCAGTTTGAAGAGGCTAGGTCATCACCACTTGCTCTGATTGTGTTTCTGACCTGCATAGACTAGTAGAGGAAGAAGGTGTAAGTTGGCCTTGTTGTTAAGTCATCACTCAGGGCAGTAATATGCAATATAATACCAGATGCGTGTGAGATATTCATCTGTAGGCTGTTGTTCCTAATCTGTGTGCTTGAAATAGATTGTTGCTTACATGACTGGTGTCACTGTATTACATTTCCTGGAGGGTTTTACTGCTTTATGGCAAGGCACTTCTTCAAGCTAACAGTGGGTATTTTTCATATTAAATATGGAAAGGAAAATCAGTGATTTGAAGGTCTGGTACTTAGATGTGTGTAAAGAGTCACCTCTAGCTCTGTAATGAGACATTTCTGCACTGGTTTATTAAACTTTTCTTATATTTGGTTTGATTATTTTGGAGCTTCATCTCTTGTTACTGTACGTTTGTCAACGTTGCATTTCATTTGCCATGTGGCAGCTCATTGATCACATAGATCTGTATCCTTTTGAACTTCACTTGCTGCTATGTATGTGTTCATCACTCACTCTGATTTAGTGCATCATCAGCAGTTTGAATTAGTTACTGTAGGAATCTCTGCTTGTGAGATAAATTAACTGCTTTTGTACTTTAGGCTTCACATTGTACATTTGGAGGAAGAATTTCCATAGTGCTTTGGATATCGCTGTCTTTTTTGGTGCTGTTGAGTGGCCACTATATTGAAACAAATTGGTCAACCTTTCAGAGGAGACGCCTGGGGAAATGTGATGTGCTGGCTGTTAAATACAGCAAGGTTCAG